GGCATTCTCACAGCTTGGGCCCCTCATGGTGGGGTTGCGAATCACACCCAAGTTTGCAGCCCGTAATGCAGAGCTTGCGCGAGATATTCGGGAAGCGGTCCACTACCCGAGGAATGAGTCAAAGTGGCGAATGGTTGATAATGAACGTGGGTTTCTCAGTAAGTACGTGACCTTAACAACAGGCCCTGTGCGTCAGCGCAGGCCCATGGAGGTGATTGCTCTTTGTAGCGCAGAGGAGAAGGTTGAGGTCTGCTGGGGCCATAAACCCCCCCCGCTCATTCTTCAACCACCCCCCCAAGCATGGTTCTGAAGATCCGGCTATTTGGGGGGGCGGTCCCGTCAGCATCCCCCCCATTATCTCCATTCGCCCTGAGGCAGTTTGGGGTGCGCTGCCAAACGTGTTCTCCATGTTTGAGTTTCTCAAGTTCATCATGGTGCCTGCAGATATGGGATCAACCAGGGGTGCACGCGGCAGGTGATCTGTAATCAGAGGAGCTGCACTGTGGGATGATGGTGTTGGCACAAACAGCGTGCTGTGGAGCACGTTGGCAGAATGCAAAACTCCAGTCGCCCCCCGTGTCCTCATCAGAGCTCACAGCTTCCATCCCCCTTCCAGTGCCCATCCCCCCTCCCACTTATTCTCATTCCCCCCTCATCCGCGTCCTCCTGCTCCCGGAGACATGGGCACGATTGAATCAGTCAGAACTTTCCCCGAAGCGTGGTGTGGTGAGATTCAAGCATTCGTCCTCATTTTCCTTATCCCACTCCTCGTCCTCCTCCTCCTCATCTTCCTCCTCCTCCTCCTCCTACTATTCCTCCTCCTCCTCTTCCTCCTCCTCCTCCTCCTCTTGATTATCCTTATCCCCCTTCGCCATCCTCCTCCGTTCTCTTCTCCATGTCATCCGTCATCAGTCCCGTTCCTCATCCATCCTCCCGGCGCCGCAGGCCTCGTGCCCCTGGCCCCTGGCCGCCGCGGGCTGCAGGCAAGGCCCTCCAGCCAGCCTGCACGCTTGCACCAGCAGGGTGAGGGGGGGCTGAAGATCAGACGGGGGGGGAGGCTGATGTGAAAAAAGGATGATAAAGCGAGGATGGATGAGTAGAGGGAGAATGTTGGAGGAAAGAAATTGGCTGCCACAGAACTGTGTTCCCCAACCAGTGCTTGCATTATAGGTTTCACTCTGGTTGGTCTACAATGTTTTTGCATGGTGGGCTTTTGCTTGGTGGCTGGCAGTTGCTGCTTGCTGCTAGCTAACACAACGCACCTTGCATATATACCAGTGCCCATCATAGCTCACACTGCAAATGTTGCATCACATAGCTTGCACTGCACATGTTGTGCCGCAAAGCCGTCGTCACGCCCGCGCTACGTAACTAGCGCTGACTACATGCACCACATCGATCAACATGCTTAGCCTCGCGCGTTGCACTATGTAGGTTGCACGTCAACAGTGCAATGTCTAACTGTTTGGGGTATACAAACGTCACGAGGGGAGGTGGGAACACTGCGGCAAACCAGCATGTGGTGGCCCACTGCTCAACGGTACATCGGAGCTGTGGGTGCCATCTACCCGGAGTAGGGTGCGACCCGTGCCTTGTTCTCCTGATCGTGCCAGGGTTGATCCGGAGATCCTTGATTGTGGCCCCGCCAGCTTGTGCCAAACATCAAGCCGCGTAAGCGACCATGCCATGGAGATGTTGCCCCACAGCAACGTTAAGTCTATACCCGTGGCTGGTGTAAGAGAGTGCATTAAGTCTTCACGCTTCGCGAATCCTCACCAGCCCATTCAGAAGACCTGCCCATGAGAGTTGACGGGAAATGGAATGAAGAGACAGATTGGGCCTGTTGGGTTTCTTTTGGGGGGGTCATGGAGCCTTCTTGGGGCCCTTTTGGAACTCTCGCAGGGCCTTCAGCCGGGCTTCGGAGGGCATCCTGGGGCCATGTTGGAGGCCATCGATCAAACGAGGGAAGGTCCCTTAGCTAGCTCCCCCCAGAATAGCCATCATCATAGCATCTTGGGGCACTAGTGGGGCCCCATGGGGGCGATCTTGGGCGCGCTTGGGGCAGGCTCGATGGCCTCTCGGGCCCTTCTTGGAGCTCAATTGGGCCATCTTGGGGCTACGCTGAGGCCTCAAGCGCGCATCGGAAGCGAAAAGGCGAGACGTCCAAACGGTTTTGAAGGATTTCGGCTTCTCCGAGAAATCCAGATGGGTCTCCAACAACAGTTGGATCCGTCTTGTGGCCTTGTTGGCTGCATCTTGGAGGTATGTTGATAGCTATTGTGAGCCATGTTGGGCTATCTTGTGTTATCTTGGAGGCCATCTTTGGCTTTCTGGTACCATCTTGGAACCATCTTGGGCCGTCTTGGACGCCGCGGCGATTCACGCCCCCCGCCCGTCAAGGTCCAGGCGAGGGGGGGGGGGGTCCCGAGGAGGCGTCGAGACGTATTGAGCCTTCTTCTGATCTTCTTCGTGAGCCGTCTTCTTGAGCCAACACGGCCACGAAAGAGGACCGAACAGACATCGTTAGACCGCATGTTGCCCAGAGGGCCGGCAGAAATACACAAGCATTTAGTAAGACATCGTGTTACACAACGTCGGCCCAACTGTGAAAAGACATGCCCTTACACGGTCGGGGACGTCCCCGACTGTTGTAAGGGCATGTCTTTTCAAGTAGATGAACCTTACGCGGTCGGGGACGTCCCCGACTGCGTAAGGCCTTACGCGGTCGGGGACGTCCCCGACTGCGTAAGCCATAAGGTTGGGGATGTCCCCCATTGTGAAAGGCCTGATGGCATGTCGTTTGACGTTGGGCCCTCGGGTCAGCGCTCGGCCACCGATGAGAAGCTGAAAAATGGTGACGCTGCGCTAAGGGCATGTATATTTTACACATGGCCTTACAACAGTCGGGGACGTCCCCGACTGTTGTAAGAGGGTGTCTTCGAGGTTTGGCCACTGTTGTAAGCCCATGTGTAAATTACACATGGCCTTACAACAATGCCGACATTGAAAATACACCCTCTTACAACAGTCGGGGACGTCCCCGACTGTTGTAAGGCCATGTGTAAAATATACACCCTCTTAGCACAGCAGGTCCAGTCTCGGGCGATCGCGCGCCGTGGCCGACCTCGCCATAAGGATCATGGTGTCGCATCCGTCTCCCCCCATACAAAAGCACGCACAAGGCTATGAGGCCTTTTGTCGATGGGCCCCCTGACGATGGCAGCATGTGCTGAGCAACCCTCCCCTGCTCCTGCTTCTGCTCATGGCACTGCTCAATTCTGTAACTGCTGCTCCTGCTCCTGGTGCTAATCACCCCTGCTCATGATATTGCTCCTGGTACTCCTCACCTCCTGCAGCAGTTGTGTTCGCTGCTCCGAGCTTGTGCCCCTTTGTGTGACATGCGGTCAAACGATGTCGTTCCGTCCTCTTACGTAGCAATTTTGGCTCAAGAAGAAGGCTCACAAAAAATGATCAAGACGCATCGGTGTCCTTAAGCGTTCGTTTTGCGCCTCCTTCTGCGGGCCGCCCATTCGGCCGCGAGTCGTCAGGGCGCCCAAGATGGCCCAAGATGGCTCCCAGAGGGCCTTAGAGAAGATGGCTTCCAATATCGCTTAAGATAGTCCAACATGGTTCAAGATAGCTAGCAACATGTCTCCAAGAGGCTCCAAGAAGACCACACTACTGATCCAAATGCTCGTGAGGACCCCTCGACCTCCCCGAGAAGCCACAATCCTTCAAAACCGCACGGAGAACCAGTGTTTTTGGACGTTTCGCCTTTCGCTTCCGATGCGCTCTCGAGGCCTCAGCGCGGCCCCAAGATGACCCAATAGAGCTCCAAGAAGGGCCCGAAAGGCCATCAAGACTGCCCCAAGAGCGCCCAATATCGCCCCAAGATGCTATGTTGATGGCTCTAAGGAAGGGACCTAGATAAGAGCTCCAAGAGGGTCCCAAGCGGGCCCCAAGACCCCACGAACGAGTTAGTCCCACCAGCCCTCTGGGCTTAGGTGGCATAACACGGTTTTTTCTTCTCTCTAAACCTCCCCCTACCCCCTCCCCTGGGCCTGGATGGGGGGGGGGGGGGGGCGGAGGCGCCGCAGCGTCCAAGATGGCCCAAGAAGGTTCCAAGAGGGCTTCAAAGTCGCAAGATGGCCTCCAAGATGGCCCATGCTACTTCAAGATGGGTCAAGATAGCCTCCGACATACCCCCAAGAGGCCCCAAGACAGCCCCAAGACGGATCCAAGTGCCCTCCGAGCCCTCCACGGCGCCCTCCAAGATGCCAAAACCTTTCAAAAGCCTAGGGAAAATCTATGTTTTTAGCATTATCGCCGCTTCGCTTCCGATGGGCTTTGGAAGCCTCAAGATGGCCTCTAGATGGCCCAAAAGAGGCCCAAGAGGGGCCCAAGAAGGCCAACGACGGCCCGAAGATCGCCCAATAGGCGCCCGAGAGCGCTCCAAGAGGGCCCCAAGATGCCGTTTGAGAGCCTCCGAGGGGGCGATGCTAATTGAGGGACCTCCTCTTTTTGAGCCATGGGGCCCAAGCTGACCCCAAGAGGCATCCCAGCCTCTCCCCACAGACCCTCCACCCCGCCCTGTTTGGCCCAATATGGCTCCAAGAGAGCCCTAGATAGGCATGGCATAAGATAGCCAAGCATGACTCAAGATAGCCTCCGACAGACCTCCAAGAAACCTCAAGACAGCCTCAAGATGGCCCAAGATAGCCGAGCAGGCTCAAGATAGCCTCCGACAGCCTCTAGCCGAGCATGGCTCAAGATAGCCTCCAAAGAGGCCTCAAGAAAACTGGCGATCAATTCTGGATGGGCTGGTGGGGATACGCGAAGCGTCAAGAACCTTTTACGGGCAATCACTTGTAAAAAACTAACTCGGGAAGCTAACCCAATGTGTTCCTGACACTCCTCACTCCCGCAGCTGTTCTGTTCGGAGCTCCGAGCTTGCTCGACGTCAGAATCAGTACGCGTCTGTACTCCCAGACATACAAGCAATGGCCCGTGGTGCCGGTGCTCGTGGCGGCGGCCGCGGCGGTCGCACCGCCGGCCGTGGAGGCCGAGGAGGCTCCGGAGGCAATGGCGGCGGCGGCCGCGGGCAGGCTGGGGCGCCTTCCCAAGCTGGCCCAGGCCCTGCCGCGCAGCTCCCGACCACCGATGCCAACGCCTCCATCGTGAGCAGGGTGGTCGAGGCCAAGGCCTACTTGGAGTCGCTGGCCCCTTTCAGTGACATCCATCGAGCGCTGCCGGGCGACATCGCTGCTGGTGATGGCCACATGGCCGCGTATGATGGCGAGTCTTGCGCGACTGCGCTCAAGTCTCTTGGCAAGTATATCGCTGGCGGCAACTTGTGGTGGGTAGATCTGACGTCCTCGCTGAACATGTCTTCGGTCCCGGTGAACGTGGCGTCCGTGGAGCGCCTCGAACAGGACCTGTTCAGCGAGCCTCCGACTGTGTTCCCCGACAACATCACGGTGGGCGTCTACGAGCCTGCAGACCCCTCCCAGACCTTCGGCCGCCTGATGCGGATCAGCCCAGAGGACCAGTGGCTACCAAACTGATGATGATGGTGAAGATGAGAAGGAGGGGGCGGAGGTGGAGGAAGAGGAGGAGGAGGAGGAGGAGGAGCATGCGGAGGAGGAGGAGGAGAAGGAGGAGGAGGAGGAGAAGGAGGAGGAGGACGACGACGATCATGAGGATGAAGAGGGGAAGTGAAGAGAGAGGAGGGGGAGGAGGAGGCGGAGGAGGAGGGAAGAGGAGGAGGATACGGGGGAGGAGGAAAACGAACAGGAGGAGGGACGGACAACCTTTTCCCAAGTTGAAGAGAGAAGCAAGACAAGGAACAAAATGAGGAGGAAGAGGAGGAGCAGGGCGGAGGCGCCGTGTGGCCCATCAGGGGAAGGTAGTGGACAAGGTTGGGTCGTTTTGGCAGCCCTTTTTGTTTTTGGTTTCCTCGGTGACGGGGGGCCCTCCATCTGGCAACATTTTGTCTTACAGCTCGTGGGCAACTTGTTTTTGCTTTCGCTGGGGCCTTTGAAAGGTCTGGACAGCGGTCCGCAAACCAGTTACTCCAGCAACCCCTGGACCTGGATTGGGCGTTCCCCGAAGGGTTGGAGTGTCCAAGATGGCCCAAGATGGCTCCATGTGGGCCTTAGAGAGCGCTCAAAATGGCCCAAGATTGTTCAACATGGTTTCCAATCTGTTCCAAGAGGTCCCAAGGCCCCTCCACGACGGCCCGAAGTGGCCAAGGATCCTGCCCAGGAGGCAATCAATAGGCCACACTCTTTCAAACACCTGAGGACAATCAATGAGTGTTGCCTTCTCGCCTTGTTGCTTTCGATGGCTTTCCGAGGCCCCGAGAAGGCTCTAAGAGGGCCCAAGAGGGCCCCGAGAGAGGCCCCAAGAGCCCCGAGACTGCCCCGATAGAGCCCAAGGGCGCTCCAAAAGCGCCCCAGGAGCGGCCCAAAGAGGCGAAGATCCTAGGCGTTCCCGAAGGCGGGCCCTGATAGAAGCTCCTACCTTCTTTGATCGATTTCAACCACGATGGTCCCAAGATGCGCCCAGGATGCCCCGAGAGGCGACCGAGATGCCTCAACGAGGCCCCCAAGAGACCCCGAAGAGGCCCCACGAGACCCCCCGGGGCACCCAAGACGCTCCAAAAGGCCCCTGGGACTGCCAAGAGGCCCCCAAGACGCTGCACGTGGCCCCCAACAAGCTTCCAAGAGATATCCCTGGAGATTCCGAGAAGCAACTTGCATGGGCATTGTTTGAAACGATGCCCATGCGAGTTGCTTCTCAGGATCTCCAGGGATACGCAGAGCGACAAGCAGTCGACATTGCACACCCTACTTCACGCAGCACCCCGAAGGAGATGGTTTTCGCCTTCTACCTGGGGGCCGCGAAGCACTTGAAGGACAGCCAGGGGGATGAGCTTATGGACAGGGCCACCTTGTGGCGTCGTGCGGCCCTGTCAGTGCCACTGGAGTTCGTGATGTGCGAGAACGTAAATGACCTCTCCTGGAAATCAATAAATCTGCGTGAGTCCATTGGAACGAAGTACGCCACTATGTACCGGTCCCCAGTCCAGCGCATCTTTGAACTGGCGATCTGGAAAGAGAAGCAGGAAGCTGAAACTGGGACCAACATGGACCCCGAGGCTATCTCCAAGGCGTGGTCGGAGAAGGTCCAGCTCAGCCCGATGGCGGAGGCCATCTCGCCAGGCATGGTGGACGCCTCCATGACAGTGTGGAATCGCCTTTTGTGCGATCCTGAGTGCCGGTCGGTGGTCATGGAGGCGGAGTCTTTCTGGGGCAAGCACACGCCGTGGGATTCTGTGTATAAATTGGAAGCTGTGGTCAAGAAGGTTGGCCGCTCGGACACATCCTTCACCAGCGCGAGGTACATGGGTAGCCCGCGGCAAAGAAGGAGGATAGGGAGTGTGAGGAGGGAGGAGGACAAGGAGGAGTAGGAGGAAGAGAAGGACGAGGAGGAGGATGAGGGATGCTCCTCCCAGGGAGGAGGGGCAATGACGAAGGACCCTGCCCAGTTTTCTCACTGAACCGCTGCCTTTGACACGATCCTGCTCATCCTTTTCCTCCTTCTCCTCGTCCTCATCCTCCTTCTCCTCTTCCTTGCCCGCCTCTCCTGGGAGCCCGCGAGCCGCAGCGCCACGCCACTCAAAGTGGCCGCTCTAAGCTGTCCTCACAATCTCCTTATCGTCCTTCTCCTCCTCCTCCTCATCCCCGTCTCCTCCTCCGCCCGTTCCTCCCGAGCCTTTCCCCTGGCTATCCTCCCCCGCTCCCTGCACCTCCTCTCCCTCTTCCAGATGTTGCGGTGTTGTTGTGCCTCGTGCCGCGCGGGTGGATCCTGCGCGCTGTCTCAGATGAGATCAAGAACGGCACGCACCATCAGTCCTACTTTAGTGTCCGCATGCTCTCTGGCAAAGGTCAGGCTCAGAACAAAGGGGCGTGCGACATCTACATGTACCGCAGGTCCCTGAAGCAGCACTGCATCAGCTCCATCCTCGGTGGCCTCAGTTTCCAACCTGACATGAAGGATCAAGTATCTGGTTTGTTCTCATCCCACGCCGTGTATCGGTCGTGGTTTGGCTACGACAGCCAGACAGTGAGCCGCCAGTGGCTGCGCGGCTTCCCCAAGGCCTTGCAGCACCTCATCATATTTATCGGGGAGATTGTTTACGGGGTCAAGTACGACACAGCCATCCGCAGCGGCACCAGGTTCAACACCACGTGCGAAGAGTTCTTTGAGAAGGACGAGGTGAAAGTTGACCTTGACAAGCTCCTGTCAGAGTGCCACAGCCACCTTGGCACGATTCCAGAGTCCAGCAGGCCATCGGTCCCAGAGGTTCCCATGGATGAGGCGGCCGAGCATGCCGTGGCCAGCGGCTTCGTGGTCGACAAGCAGGATGCGGCAACGCTCGCCTCCACCCTGGGGGACCAGATTGCTGGTATCAAGGAGGCGCTGGGGCAGAAGTTCAAAGTGTTGGCCAAGCTGTCTTCGCTGAGTGACACTGACAAAAATGAGTTGCGCCAGCTTGAGAAGTTGGCCTGTCAGAAGGTGGCGGATCATTGCTCTCTCCTGGTGGAAGGGAACAGCCCTGCGACGTGCGCACGGGTGATGGGCGGGTCGTTCGTCGGCACCCTGCGCGGAGACGACAACAAGAAGATCCTCGTTGTGTGCGACAACAAGTTGGCCGGGGAGAGCGTCTCCACGCCTCACCTGAGGCTGCCGCCGTTCAGGGCGGAACGCCTCAAGAAGCTCATTCAATGGCTGTTGCCAACACCGCCGGCCTATACCCATTTATGTCGCAAATTGTTGACGCTTCGCGTATCCCCGCCAGCCCATCCAGACGCGATGTCCAGGGGAATCAAGGTGATAAGAGAAGTACGGGGGCACGCAGAAGAACAATGGGAAACCATTCGATGCCCCAAGAGGGGGAGGATGGTGGAGGAGAGGGAGGAGGATGAGAAGTAGGAGGAGTGAGAAGAGCATCCTCGGATTTCTCTTGGGATTTATTGGAGGCCTCTGGGGAACATCTTGGGTGCCTCGGGGATCCTCTTGAAGCCTCTTGGGGCCCTTTGCGGGCCTCTTGGAGGTATCGTGGGCGCCTCGCGAGGCCGTCTGGGCGCTTCTTAGCGCCATCTTGGGGCGCTCTTGGGATCCTGGGGAGCGCTCTTGGGGCCATCTTGGAGAAGATCGATCACGTGAGAAAGGTTCCCTTACTGACCCCCCCCCTTGGGATCCCCAGAAGTCGCCTCTTGGGGCGCTCTTGGGCGCTCGTGGGGCCGTCTTGGGGCTCTCCGGGTCTCTCTCGGGGCCCTCTTGGGCCATCTTGGAGCCATCTTGAGGCCCAGGATGGCTGCTGGACGCTAACAATGGAGACAGCAAACCATCATGTTTTTCCATAGGTTTGGGAAGGATTCTGGCTTCTTCGAGGCCTCCTTGAAGATGTCGAGGCCTCTTGGAGCCGTCTTGGAACGTCCTTGGGGCCTCTTGGAGCATCTATGGAGCCAACTTGAGGCATCTTGGGCTGTCTTGACCCAACTTGGAGGTCATCTTGGGTTCCCTGAGGCCCTCTTGGAGCCATCTTGGGCGAACACGTACCCTCCGAGGGGCGTCTCGCCCAGGTCCAAGGGAGGGGGGGAGGGGGCATCGGGGAGGGGTAAACCACTCCCCGAAGGGACAGAAGGGGGTTTGAAGAGGAAGCTCTTTAGACCACCTACGCCCGGAAGGCTAGTGGGTTTGGCGAGGGCAGCGCGGCGTGATATGGGGGATGTAGGGGAAGGGGAAAATCGTAATCGCTTTTCAGCGCTGTTACTTTGCAAATGCAGGGTGGGCGGATCCAGGCAGTCAACAGTACTCGTGCTGGCGGCGCAGGCGTCCTGGACGACGGTGATGTATGGCTGGTCTGTGATGGTGGCCTGCAGGGCAATCGGGGGCCCATCCTTAACCAGTTCCAGACCCACGACGGGAAGGCCCTGAAGAAGTCCTACAAGACCTGCCACCTCCATTATTCTGAATCTGCCATGGAGTCGAGGTACGCGCGCCTGAAGGACGGGCACGTGCTGCAGCAATTGGAGACGGTCTACGTGGTGAGGTCTGACGAATATCAGCCTGCCAAAAGAAAGCGCAAACACTTCGACCAGTGCACGAATGCTGGCACCATGATTGGCCCAGTAGGCCTCCCGTCATATGAGTCTCAGTGGCTGCTGAAGTACAGTGACAAGAAAGATCTCTACGGCCCCATGCGTGTTGCCACAGGCGGAGCCCAGGAGATCCCGGACGCCGGGGCCCCAGCCAAGAAGCGGCGCCTGGACACAGACTACGAGCCCTCCAGCTGGCACACGATGATCGATACGATCTCGTCGGAGTTCATTCATTCTTATCATGAGGCTTTCGCCGAGCGCCTGCCCCGTCCTGTTTGCCTCCTGTTCCTCCTCCTCCTCCTCCTCATCCTCCTCCTTCTTCTCTCCCTCTTCCACCTCCTTTTCCTCGTGGTCCTTCTCCTTCTCCTTCTCCTCGTCCTTCTACCCCTGCCCCTTCTCATGTTCCTCCTCATCATCATATTTGTACTCGCAATCCTCATTATCCTTGTCCTCCTCCTCACTCTCCTCATCCTCCGCTTCCCCCTCCTCACCCTCCTGCTTGCCCTCGAATGGGGAGGGGCACGCCTTCGGGCTGCCGGTGGCAGCTGGGGGGGCGCCAGGGGCCTGGCGATTGGGCCGGCGCCCGAAGGTCAAGCTAGGAGGGAGGGAAGATGGGATCGGTGAAGGGATGATGGGATGATACAGGAGATGATGAAAAGAATTACCCCAGTGCGACCCTACCTAGGAGTTGGAGCCCCTAGGAAAACAGCATTAGCAGTAACGGTAAAGCTAAGCTAAAGCTCAGCTGAAGCTAACCTAGAACTAAGCTAAAGCTAAGCTAAAGCGAACCTAAATCTAAGCTAAAGCTAAGCTAGAGCTAAGCTAAAGCTAAGCTAGAGCTAAGCTAAAGCTAAGTTACAGCTAAGCTACAGCTAAGCTAAAGCTAAGCTTACGCTAAGCTAAATCTAAGCTAAAGCTGAACTGAAGCTAAGCTAAAGCTAAGCTACAGCTAAGCTAATTCTAAGCTAAAGCTAAGCTACAGCTAAGCTAACGCTAAGCTAAAGCTAAGCTAAATTTAAGATAAAGCTAAGTTACAGCTCTGCTAACGTTAAGCTAGCGCTAAGCTAAAGCTGAGCTAAAGCTAAACTAAAGCTAAGCTAAATCTAAGCTAAAGCTAAAGCTAAAGCTAAAATTAAAGCTAATGCTAAAGCTAAAGCTAAAGCTAATGCTAAAGCTAAAGCTAAGGGGACGTAACTGGGGGAACCGCGGGGCGGACACTGGGGGAACCGCCCGGGGCGCTTTCCACTGCCCGGCTCCTTTAAGCCCAGAGAGTAAGAACCCTTCTAGATGGAGCCTAGGGAAAGAAAAAATGCCAATTCACTTCTGTGCAACGCACTGGCGGACCCTTGTAAAGCGGTTATTGACATGACCCCGGTGAGCCCAGAATGGGCAGTGTCTTGCATTGAGGCTGGCATACCGTACATGGCCATCTGCTATGCCGAAGCCCACGCCACTTTGCTCAACCAGTGCTTGTCGCACCGCATATTCCAGAAATTCACTGACGAGTCCGACGGCATGTTCGTCCCCGGAGCTGCCAAGCTCGTGTCCGGCGACAGCAACAATGGTGATAAGGATGGGCCCGAGGATGAGGAGGAGGTTGGCAACAACGGAGAGGAAGATGACGATGGCGAAGACGTCGAGCCCCCGGCGGTGCTCAAGAGGAGGCCGGCCGCAGCCAAACCCACGGGCACGAAGAGTGGCACTCGCCAGTCCCTCTTGAACCGTTTGCAGGAGCTCGGCGGCGGGGCATCCGACGAGGACGGAGATGAGGAGGATGAGTGAGCCCCGGGTCTGACACTCTAGGTGTGATGCGATGACGACGCCAATGCCTAGCAATAAAACTCATACCACAAAAGCATAGAGACATGTCAGATCATGATTTGAGGTTTGATGTTATTGCGATGGCGGTGGCTGAGTTGTCACGCAAACTCTCGGACCAGGGATGCGTTTAAACCTCGCTGTGGCACTGGTGGCGCACGCGCTTCTTGCTGCCAGTGGGGAAGGAATCGACAGCCACTTGCGTGGCCATGTCAGGCTTGTCTGCAGTTTGACATTCGGCGCTCCGCCGTAGCGTTGGCCTGGCGTTGGCCAGGGACTAGCTGTTTAACAACGTTTGGCTGTCGAGTTTTGAGCTCGGGCGCCCCGCCCGCGTTGTGCTGGCGCTGTTTTTTGCCAGTCGTCTCGGTCGCACTCCTCGCGACATAGCAAATGTAGGAATGTTCAAGTGGATGCGCCATTGGATTGTGATCTCGTGGTGAAGGGGCGCGAGGAAGACGATGAGAATGAGGAGGAAAGCAGGAGGCAGGATGCCGAGGGCAAGTGTGATGGTAGGAGTGAGGGGGAGAGTGAGGAGTGAACCCCTGGTCTGACACTCTAGGTAGGATGCGATGACGTGTTTATCAGGCCCCTGCGGGCTCTGGTCGACGCCACCGCCTAGCAATATAACTCATACCGCACAAGCATAGAGACATGTCAGGTCATGATGTGAGGTTTGATGTTATTGCGATGGCGGCGGCTGAGTTGTCGTGCGAACTCTCGGACCAGGGGTGCGTTTAGAGCTCGCCTAGGCACTGGCGGCGCACGCGCTTCTTGCTGCCAGCTCGACGATCGGTGCTCGGCCGTGGCCCAAGCGTTGGCCTGGCGTTGGCCAGGGACTAGCTGTTTAACAACGTTTGGCTGTCGAGCGTCGAGCGCCCCGTGCTGTGCCGGCGCCGTTTTTTTTCAAGATCGTCTTGGTCGCACTCCCCAAGACATATCAACGTAGGAGTGTTAAAATGTACGCACGGTTGGATTGCAACCCCGTGGTGAAGGGGCGCAAGGATAATGATGATAACGAGGGGGGGGAGGAGGCAGGAGGCAGGAGGACGAGGGCAAGTATGGTGATAGGAGGGAGGAGGAGGGCGATGAGGTTTGGACTGAATGAGGACAAGGGAGGACCGCCCATCGGTGCTTGGCCGAGAGAATGGAAGGAATGAGGAAGGAAGGAGATAAGGAAGGAAAGAGGAAGGCGGCGCCGCCTGCCAGGCAATGGCGCAGGCCAGCAGCAGCGGGCGGCCTGGGGCTCGCCCAGCCACCCCTCTTGTCCAGCCTCCTTGATCCAGTGGCCTGCGTAGGCCTCTCGAGTTCTTGGGGCCCCTCTTTGGGCCTTCTTGGGGCCCTATTCTTCCCTCTTGGAGCCCTCCTGGGCCGTCTTGAGGTTGTCTTGGGAGCTCGTTGGGCTCTCTTGAGCTGCAGGGAGCTCGAAACTACAAACCTGCGGATCCCCTTTGAAAAAAAGAGTTTTCTTGGAGCCCTCTTCGGCCATCTTGGAAGCCTCGTGGGCCGCCTCGGGGCCGCATTGGGCAATTCGGGGGCCACCTGAGGCCTGTTGTGGAGGCCTCTTGGCTGATGTTGGCGGCCTTGGAGGCTTGCCTGGGCATCTTGGACACATTGGACAACGCCAGAGGCGTCGGAATACCCAATGAGCTTCATGGCGAGGGGGGAGTGCATGGCCAGAAAGCAATCCAACACGCCTCAACGTCCCAGGGGGCTCGGTCCAACGTGGAACCCAAACAGTAATGCCTTAATGCAGGATGTGGTGCAGGAGGTGTATCTTGGTGCGCTCCACGTCGTGAAGGCTACGTGGTACGAGCTGCAAGGTATGATGCGCATGCTGTTTGGCGTGAGTTATGTGCTGCGACATATGCGGTGTAAGCGACGATGCTCAAGATGCATGACGTAAGTCAACAGACCCTGGGCCCTGTCTGGCGCCTCGCTGGCGAGACCCCTGGGGGCCCACCCAACAACTTAGGAGCGGAACAAACCCCGAACGGTGAAAGTAGCTCTAAACATCCAAGGCCCTCAACCAACTATCCTTTCACATCCTGCTGCTCATCATCCTCCTTCTCCTTCTCCACCTCCACGTACTCCCCCGCCCCTCCCCCATCGCTCTGATGTAAAGTAAGTTCTTCACCCTCATCATCTGCACCTCGCCGCTCCCGGGACATGTTGGAAGAGATAGGAGAAGAGTGTTTTTGTTCGGGAGAGCTCATAACAGATCCCCTGGTCACAAACGGCACCACACAGCCGTAGCTGGTTGGGCTCAAAGTCTTGCTGGAACCTCACCTGGGCACTCCGCCAGGCACTCACCTGGGCACTCCGCCATGCCGCCCACGGCGTCTAAGTTCAAGAGGCCAGCTGCCGCTCCTCGGACTCAGAAGACCATCAAGAAGACGGTGCCCCAGGCTGGTTCGTCATCATCGGTGCGACCCCTGACTGTCGGCAGCGTCTGCACCGGGTGGGCTGCAGAGGCCCAGGCGCTGCGCAACTTGCAGGAGCCGTGCACGCGCCTCTTTGGCTGTGACAAGGCCAAGGCGTCCAGGCTCTTCTGCGAGAGCAACTTTGACATCGGCATGTGGTTCGATGACATCTACTCCCGGGAGTTCCGCACGACCGCCCCGACCTGTGACATTTTCTCAGCTGGCTTCCCTTGCCAGCCCTATTCAATGGAGGGGCGTCATCAGGGGTCCAACGACGAGCGCGCAGACGTGCTCGGTGAGATCCTCGCGTATGTGAAGAAGAACCGGCCGAAAGTGGTCATGCTTGAAAACGTTGCCGCCTTCATGAAGAATGATTCGTTTTCGGATGTTCGTGACATGTTGTTCCGTGTTCTCAAGAATGCCGGCTACAAGGTCCATCACAAAATTCTGAACAGCAAGAACTATGGAGTTTGTCAGTCCAGGTCCCGCGTATATTTTGCATGTGTACGCAATGACGTACCTGGCTCTTTCGAGTGGCCAGACGAGGTCAAGATGCCGCCGATATCTACTTCCCTTGACAGCGGGGTGGAGCTCAAAGTATGCAAGTCGGCAGGGGAACGAATCCGGGCATGCATCAAGGAGATCTGCAATGACCCGGAGGGCCCGGACATCACTAGAACCCATGTCATCGTGGACGCCGCCTCCGGCCGCACGAACAGCTACAGGATTGGAGAGTGCCCGACCATCACAGCATCTCACGCCAGCAGCGCACGCTCATACTTCAATGTGAAGCAGATGAGGTTCCTTTCGATTTCGTCGATCATCCGGTTGCAGGGTTCGAGTGATAAAGAATTTGATTTTTCGATGCTCAGCCGCACCCAGAAAGGTGTCTTGGCTGGCAATGCAATGACAATCACTGTGGTGCAAGCCATTTTGAAGAATGTGATTTCTCTGCTTCGCAGTGCCAGGCGCTAAGGGCGCAAGATATGATTGGGATATTGATGGAGGTGGGATGATGATATCACATCACGGGGACGGGAGGGCATGAACAAGCATGCGTGCGCATCTCTCGACCTTGCTGATTTTAGGGGTAGTTGCACGTACATCGGCAGGATGAGGATGAGGATAAGGATGAGGATGAGGACAAGGAGGATGGGGACAGTTTCAGCTTCCATAAGCGACTTTCCAGAGCCATGGGTGGACGGCTTTAGAAATATTCCGCGCCCCCTTCCTCCTCCTGCTCCTTCTCCTCCTCCTCCTCCTCCTCCTCCTCCTCCACCTCCTAATCCTACTTGTCCTTATCCTCCTCCCCCTCCTCCTCTTCCCCCTCATGCTCCTCCTTTTCCTCCTCCTCCTCCTCCTCCTCCTCCTCCCCTTCCTCTTCATTCTCCCTCGTCCCCCATGCTGCCCCGCCTCCCCATGTCCCTCTTCTCCCTCCCCCCCGATCCCCACCTGTCCAAGTCCCCCCCTCCATCTCTCTTGTTTCCCTGCCCCCATCCTAGGCCACCCCGGCCCGCGGCCGAGGCCTGCTGCTGGACCGGGCCAGGCAGGCAGCGGCAGCCGCCAGGGCCGGCCCCTGCCGAGAGCGGGGGGGGCACCTGCGGGGGGAGGACATGAGGATGATGATTGGGGTTTTGGGGCTCTGGAAATTTGGGATCTCCCAGGCCCCCTGGGGGCCCCCAGAAGAAACTTCTGGTCCAGAATCTTCCGGATACTTCGGGGAACCTCCAGAGACTTTCTGGGGCCTCCAGGGGCCTTGTGGGACCTCCAGGGACCTCCTGGGGCGCTCTTTTCTTTCTTCCCCCCCCTCTCTCCCGCCTCGCTTGCCTCCACATCCTTTCCTCCCTCCCTTCTCCTCCTCCTCCTGCTCCTCCTCCTCCTCCTCGTCCTCCTCCCCCTCCTCTTCCTCCTCCTCGCCTCGCCCTGTCTCCTCCTGATCCTCCTCCTCCTTCTGCCCTTCCTCCTGATCGTCCTCGTCCTCCTCCTCGTCCTCATCCTCCTCATCCTAATCGTCCTCCTTCTCATCATCATGCCCTCCCCGATCATGTGCAGTATTTTCCTCTTCGTCATCCTTCCCCTTTGTATGCCTCAACTCGTCAGAATCATCAGTATACCCATCACCAGCATCACCATCACCACCATCGTCGTCCTCACCAACATTACCATCTTCAACATCACCAGCAACGCCAACATCACCGTCATCATCGTGACCGTCTGCATTACGAACACCATGGTGGTCAACAGTGACATCACCACAATCATCAACCGCATCACTCACCATTATCGTTGGCATCATTACCATCACCGTCATCATCATAACCGTTACCATCTGCATCTGCACCAGCAGCATCGGCGCGGCTGGGTCCAGCCCAGATTGGCTGCAGCAGGCGGTCGTCCCCCTCCTGCTCCTCCTCCTCCTCCTCCTCCTTTTCCTCCTCCTCCTCTTTTCCTCCTCCTCCTCCTACTCCTCCTCTCCTCCTCCCCTCCTCCTCCTCCTCCTCCTCCTCCTCCCCGCACCCCCTTGTCCTCCTCATCTTCCTCCTCCTCCGTATCCTCCTCCTCGTCCTCTTCCTCCTGCTCCCCCTCCTCCTCCTTCTCCTCCTCCTCTCAGTCCTGTTTCTCCTCCTCCTCAGTCTCCTGTTCTTCCTCCTCCTCCTCGTCCTCCTCCTCCTCCTGTTCCTCCTCCTCCTCCCCCTCCTTTTCGCTATCTCACTCAGCCTAGGGCGCTCCCAGGCGCGGCCCCAGGTGGCCCGTGGAGCCCAGCACGGCTGACCCGTCGACCCGTCTATGGCGAGGCAAGCCCCCCTATGGAGTGGATCTTCGCCGTTTTTGGTGTTTGTTGCAAGCAGGTGGAGTTTCCCCCACAGGACGCACTTTTGCAACACAGTCGTGCTAAGCAAAGGTCCAGAGCCAGACCCCCTCTCCCTTTCCTTTTCCGCCCACCGTTAAAACGCCGAAAACGAACACGTTCACGAGGGGGACAGCCAAATGTCTCACACGCCCCTGGCAAGCGGGGGTCGGCGGATTCTTGGCGCGGCCGCTCGTCGCAACGAAGGCTTTCTTGGACACCTCAGGACGCAAGCGCTCGCTCCAACGTGTACGCTTCGTCAAAGAGGAGGAGGAGGAGGAGGAGGAGGAGGAGGAGGAGGAGGAGGAGGATAAAACCTTCGGGCATCCGCGTCGCGTTCGCGAAGCTGGCCACGCTCCCGCCCTTTGGAGCACGATCGATTCGGATTGCAAGGGGAGTGGGTGGAGTAGCAGCAGTCTGGTGTGAGGTAGACTGCAACATTGATTTACCCCGAGATTGTTTTTTTCGTGGAGTCTGCGAAGATTGCGTATACTGCTTCAGAGATCTTTACGATCATTATACATTTTTTCTTCCGTGGATTCGACGAAAGAACCATTCTGAGGGTAAATATATTCTCTAGTCGATCCCCTCCTCGAAGTAGGTCGCAGTACTAAGAGCACTAGCAACTAGGGGGCATCCCGACCCCGATTGGGGCCTCTGAATTGTAGGTTCGCCCCTCGCAGAAGCTCCAGCATGGACACAAGAGGTACATGCGTTCCGGCGTGGCTCAACGTGACGGAATGCAAGCAGTGTGCACCCCATCGTTGTTTACTGCTTACGAGATGTCGGGCTGGGTAGTGTATATCATGTGTTTCCTAATCCAGACTGCTGCCCCCCCCTCCCCTGGAGATGGACTGGTCTAGCGCCCTTTTCCCGGGCTAGGGGGGCGGGTCGGTAGGTAGTCAGTTTTAGGTACTTTTGCAACGATTGCTCATCATTCAAGAGTTTCTTTGCGGACCCAGCGCTGTCGACCACGGCGCTTCTTGTGGACAGCTGGTTCGTGGCCTCACTGACAAATGATGGCGCCCATCCGTAAGCCATTTGTCTTCGGCCATTGTCCTCTCCCCTCCCTCCTGACTCGCTGGGGCAGCGAGTCTTTTGTAGAAGGAGTCGCTTACCCAACGGCACGTACGAATCGGGGGACGAGCTTTAACTTTTTCCTCGTGCATGCGAGTTGGGTTGGCCCCCTTTCAGCTGGTGCGGCGCACTTTCGCCTCCCTCCTGCCTGCCTCCATCCCTCTTGCCTGTCCAGTGGGACGGCTACGTCAGCGACAAGGTTTACGACCCGAACGAGGCTGTGAAGGGCGACCACGAGCCTCCGGCAGCTGGGGCATGAAAGACAGCCCTGTGCTGCCGGGGGGCCCACACCTCGGCGCGGATTTCTTGGATCTGCTCCAGAGGCCCCTGCCGGCGCCTCTGGCGCCCCCCCCGACGCGCTCCGCCGATCCAAGAAATCTTCGCGGATCTACGATATGTTACGTCCACGCTGGTCTTCTCCCTCTATACTGACAGCTTTGTGCTGTCGGGGGACTGGCACCTCCCTGACCCTTGGCGACTCGAAAAGCTCGCGCCTCGAGGTTCATCACCTTCTTCGGCCCCTCCAGATGTCGTTCTCAGGGACCCCAGGACCGTCCAAAAATCGTCTCGGGATACACAGTCGGTCCTGGGGAATTTGCCGAGAGGTCCAGGGGCTGGCGACTCTACAAAAGCGGCTCGTTGGAGGCTGAAGTCGAGGGGGAAAGGAGGGTCATGAACACGTGGTAGAGGATTATCCGGCTATGATGATGGTGGTGGTGATGGTGATGTTGCTGATTCTGACGATGATGACGACGGTTTCCAGTGATTCTGATGGTGATGCTGCTGTTGATGATTATACTGTCGGTTTGAACGATGCTGATGCTGATGATGCTGATTATGATGTTGATGATGGTGCTTGTGATGGTGATGGTGATGGTGGTGGGATGATGCTGCCCATGATGACGATGATAATGACAGATGATGATGGTGATGATGATTGCGATGCTGATGATGATGTTGATGGTGATGATGATGATGATTTCGATGCTGATGATGCTGATGATAATGATGATAATGATGATGCTGATGATGATGAGGGTAATGGTGATGGTGATGGTAATGGTTATGCTTATGGTGATGATGGTGATGGTGATTGTGGTGGGGACGATTATGCCGAGAATGATGATCGTGGTGGTGATGATGATGATGATGATGCTGCTGCTGATGATGACGATTAGGATACGGAGGTGGAGGAGGAGTATGGCGATGACGATGGCGATGGTGATAATGATGGTGATGATGCTGATGCTGATGATGCTGCTGGTGCTGCTGATGATGATGCTGATGATGTTGCAGATGATGATGATGATGATGATGATGATGATGATGATGATGATGATGATGATGATGATGCTGATGCTGATGCTGATGCTGATGCTGATGATGATGATGATGATGATGATGATGATGCTGATGCTGATGCTGATGCTGATGATGATGATGATGATGATGATGATGATGATGATGATGATGATGATGATGATGATGATGATGATGATTTTGGTCGTGATTGCGGCAGGGTGGTGGTGCTGGTGGTGGTGATGGTGATTGCGATGGTGGGTGTTGATATTGTTGTGATGATGGTTATTTTGGTGCTTATTACGCGAATCTCAGAATGAGAAGGCCGAACGGTAATTCATTGTCCTCGGGTGCGTGGCTGAAGTGGGATTCCGCTGTGCGAATTCTTGTTGTTGTTGTTGCGTTGCTTTGTTGTTGTCGTCCCCCCCCCGCCCGTGACCCGCGACCCACCCGCGACCCACCCGCGACCCACCCCGCGAGTTACCAGCGACCCACCCGCGACCCACCCCGCGATCCACCCGCCAGCCCCCTCATTACGTTATTATTGCTATTGATCGTTCGGATGATCGACGACGCCTACGGCAAACCGCCGCTGCCCCTTACTCTTCGGTAAAAGTGCCAATGTGGCCAAACTTCGGTCTCAAGACTTGCAAGCCGAGCCTTATTGGATCATGTGTTTCCCGAGTCGTTGTGGAAATCTTTGGGGGAACACTTGGGTGAGGACGAGAGGAGGAGAGGGAAGAGGACAAGAAGGAGGAATATGTGGAGGAGGATGAGGACCATGAGGATGAGGACTGGAATGAGGATGATGAAGCCTCTTGAGGGCTTCCTAGGGGCCTCTTGCAGGCCTGTGAGGGGCTGGTGGGGCCTCATGGGAGCCGCTGGGTGCATATACGGGGCCGCTTGGTATTCTAAGGTCGTCTTGGGGGCCTCACTATGCCGTCTTGGGGCCCTCTTGGGACGCTTTCCGTTCCCAAGATGGCTCAACCGAGACTCTTGGGAAAGCTCGGTAGAGCCATCGCGCCTAAACCGGCACTATGACGACCCCCGACGGGCTGGAGGGAAAGCCCTGATCTCCAACAGCCTCAGCGATCCCCAGACCTCGGGAGGTGTATCGAGAAGCGAGGTGGTAGGAATTGCTTTCTGGTTGAATTCGAGAGGCGTTCGCGGAGGCCTCTGGGCAGTTCCGGCGGTACTTCGGAGAATTCCACTCGGCGGCGTGCCTAGGGGGGAAGTGAGAAGGACAATGCCTTCTCATAAGGCTCGGAAGCCCCTCATCTTTCTGAGAAGTTTTCTCAGCTCTCCCCAAAGACACAGGAAACCTCTCGGAAGGTGCGAGGGTTTCTGAGAAGTGCCACCTCCTTTCGAGACGGCCTTCTTCTTCCCCCTCCCCCCTGCCTCGCCGCCGATCTAGAGTTCTCCAGAACTTTTTCTGGAGAGTCCTGAGAAAAAACATCTGGGGATGAATATGTGGTATTGGGCATGTGGTCGAGATATCCACGGGCCGGCAAGCCGTCCCAGTGGAGTCGAAGGAGGTCCAGGGAGGGAGGGGCTCTTCACCTTTCAGGAGTCCCCACGAAACATCACGACGCCCGTTCTGCTGGTCTGTCTGTGCGTCTGCATGTGTTTGTGGCGTGTGGTTTGTTTGTTTGTCTGTTTTTCTGTCCTTCTGTCTGTTTGTCTGTCTGTCTGTTTGTTTGTTCGTTTGTCTGGTGTTAGTTTGTTTCTTTGTGTGTCTGTCTGTCTGTTTGATTGTTTGTTTGTTGGTGTGCTTGTTTTTTTTCGTTTGTTTGCTTCTTTGTTTGTTTGTTTGTTTGTTTTGTTGTTTTGTTGCTTGTTCGTTCGTTCGTTTGTTTGTTTGTTTGTTTGCTTGTTTGTTTGTTTGCTTGAGCGGAGCAAGCAGCAAACAAACACAAACAGACGCCCTCTCCCGCGGCCAGCCCTTTTCTTCCCCTCTCGTGCATCCGGGGCACTTCGCAATGCCGTTGCCCGGCTTGCTTGAAACGCGCGTGCGGGTTGGTTTTGCCGTGCTGCGACGTGAAACGTTTTGCTTGATCGGTGGATTTCTGGAGGCTTGATTTGGGCCTTGAGGCTCCCAGAAAAGCCCGAGGAGACACCGTTCGCCAGGATGTGGTCGGAAGCTTGGGGGCCCAGACCGGAAACAGATCACGACGCTAGAAGCCTGGGGAGGGAGAAGGGAAGAGTCGAGCATCTGTGCAGCCTCAGAGCAAGAGGCTCGTCGAAGAGATAGTCGGAGCGCTCTGGGGTACTCTGGAGGGACCTCGGTACCCTATGAGTCTTTTGAGTTCGACGGTTTTCAGAGGAAGTATCGCGCCCCGCATATCCTCTCTGGGTTCGTTGGGCCTCGGATCTGGTATCTTGTTCGTATCCGGCCCTGTCTTAACGAGGGAGGGCGGAGAGCGGGCCCTGACCTCTGATGCCTTTTTCCCAACCATCCTGTGGTGTCGGGTTCTCGTTTTGAAGAGACGGTCCCCGCATTCGCTCCTCCCGCTGCCCCCTCACCACCTCTCATCATCATCCTCGTCATCGCCCGTTTCAGTACACCCCCCACACGTTTCGTTGCCCCACAGGGAGCCACACCGAAGGCCCAAATGCCAGCGTTCGCACGCGGCCACCGCATTCATTTTGGCACACCCCTCACATGTTTCGTGGCCCCACAGGCAGCCCCACCGACGGCCCAAAGATCGCATGCGGCCACCGCATCCATTTTGGCACGCAACTCTCACATTTCGTTGCCCCACAGGGAGCCACACCGAAGGCCCAAATGCCAGCGTTCGCATGCGGCCACCGCGCCCATTTTGGCTCGCACCTCACACGTTTCGTGTCCCCACAGGGAGCCCCACCGATGGAGCAAACGCCAGCGTTCGTATTCGGCCACCGTACCCATTTTGGCACGCCCCTCACACGTTTCGTGGCCCCACAGGGAGCCACACCGAAGGCCCAAATGCCAGCGTTCGCATGCGGCCACCGTACCCATTTTGGCTCACCCCCAACACGTTTCGGTGCCCCACAGGGAGCCCCACCCAAGGCCCACAGGCCAGCGTTCGCATGCGGCCACCGCACCGAATTTGGCGTATCCCTCACACGTTTCGGTGCCCCACAGGGGGCTCCCCCGAATGCGGTGCATGTAACGATGGCGCCCACAACTGCAGATGTTTTTTTTTTTTTCCTCGCCAGGCGAAGTATCATCAGGACGTGGGCCCCGTTCCTTACTCCATATTCTCGCCATGGTCCTGGGGCCCGACGCGCGCCGCCAGAGGGCCAATCTCAGGAACAAAATAACAGCCGCAGTGGTTTTCCCTGCCATACTGTGGTTTCGGGTCCTGCACTCCTCACTCCTCTTTCCCCTCTCGTCGTCATCGCCATCAATCATAATCCCCACCATCAGTATCACCATCAACATCATCAACATCATCATCATCAGCATCATCATCAGCATTACCATCATCACCACCATCATCAGCCTTGGCCTCAACATCTACATCCTTACCAGCCTCACCATCAACATCTTCATCAGCATCACCATCAACAGCATCATGATCAGCATCGTCGTCACATTTATCATCAGCAGCATCTTCATAATCCTCATCACCATACTCCTCCTGCTCCTCCTCTCCCTCCACTTCCTCCGCCTCATCATCTTCAGCTTCATCATTATCTTCAGCATCTTCATCATTACCACCACCATCACCATCATCCATCACCCATTCACCAGCATCCATCAACCATCATCATCATCATCACCATCATCATCATCATCACCATCATCATCATCGTTATAATCACCATCAGCATCATCATCATCGTCATCATCATCAACAGCATCAGCAGCATTCGCGTTACCACTTTTGTGATCCGAATCATCGTCATCATCAACGTCAGCAGTATCGGCACTATCACCGTCACCCGTCGCATTCAGGCACACCGCTCACACGTTTCGTGGCCCCTATTTGGGAGCTCCACCGAAGGCCCCAGTTGCAGGGTTCGCATGAGTTCCCGTCTTTCATTTCGACCCCTCACACGTTTCGTGTCCCCTATTTGGGAGCTCCTCCGATGGCCCCAGTGGCAGGGTTCGTATTCAGTTCCCGTCTTTCATTTTGACCCCTCACACGTTTCGTGCCCCCTATTTGGGAGCTCCTCCGATGGCCCCAGTGGCAGGGTTCGCGTTCAGTTCCCGCTTCTTATTTCGGCACGCCACTCACACGTTTCGCGACATCATAGGGAGCTACACCGAAAGCCCCAGCGGCAGGTTCTGTATGAGTTCCCGCCCGTCCTTTTGGCACACCCCTCACACGTTTCGTGGCACCACTGGGAGCTCCAAAGACAGCCCCAGTGGCGGGGTTCGCATGCGTTCCCGCCTCTCATTTCGGCACACACCTCACACGTTTCGTGGCACCATAGGGAGCTCCACAGAAAGCCCCAGATGCATTTCGACCCCCCCCGCTCACACGTCTCGTGGCCCTTATTCGAGAGCTCCACCGACGGCCCCAGCTGCAGGTCCTGCATGCGTTTTCCATGCGTTCCCGCATCTCATTTGTGCTCACCTCTCATACGTTTCATGGTTCCATGTGGAGCTCCACCACTCGCCCTAGTCACAGGGTTCGCATGAGTTCCCGCCTCTCATGTTGGCACACCCCTCACACGCTTCGCGGCCCCTGCGGGAAGCTCCGCCGAAGGCTGTTCTGGGAGGGTTCGCGTGCGCCCTCCCGCCCATTTCGGCACACCCCTCTCACGCTTCGTGGCACCACAGGGAGCTCCCCATTCTTGCGTCCCACCTGCTCCTTCTCCTCCCCCTCCTCCCGCTCCCCCTCCCCCTCCTCCTCCTCCTCCTCCTCCTCCTCCTCCTCCACCTCTTCCTACTCCTCCTCCTGCTCCTCTTCCTTTGCGGTGCTCCCACTTGCGAAGTTTGAAGGGCATCCTGCCCGTAGGGGTCCTGCGTGCTGCTTCGAGGGGCGGGTTCGGGCACCTCCGGATCCGGAGCAGGCGGCCCGTGGCCCGCATGGGTGCGCCGTACCGTCTCCCGCACGGTTTTTCTCCTGCACGGCTGCCTATTCGGCCTCCCTGATGGTCTTCCCTCTGGTCCTCCTCGTGGTCTCCCGTATTGTTCGGTGGCAAAATCATGGGAGCCTGGTATGCCCTCACAATTCCGTTTTTGGCGTCGCTTCGCGTCGATTAGCGTCGATTTAGCGTTTGGGAGTCGATGGGGTAGCGCCGATTTAGCATTTGTTAGCGTCGATTGGCGTCGATGTAGCGTCAATTCGCGTCGGCCAGCGTCGATTCGCAAGAGCAAACAAGATGGTATGGAAGGCTCCCATGAGTTGCCACCGAACGTATGGTCCTCTTCCTGACCTCCGCCCTGGTACATTCTAGAGCGCTCTCTACACTACCCCACATATTTTGGTTTGTTTATTTGTTTTCTCTCTCTCTCTCTCTCTCTCTCTCTATATATATATGTATATAGCACCCTGGATATGGTCCTCTCTGTGATGTTATATCAAGAGCTGCTCAGGGTCTTCTCTTTTGTTTGTTTTTTCCTCTCTCTCTCTGTCTCTCTCTCTCTCTCTCTCTCACAGTATATATATATATATATATACACTCTCCCTCTGTCTCTCTCTCTCTGTCTCTCTCTCTCTCTGTCTCTCTCTCTCTCTCTGTCTCTCTCTCTCTCTCTCAGTGTATATATATGTATATACATATATAGATATATTGTAATGGCCTCCGGCCAGTGCCGCCGATCCGGGGCGCTCCCGATGCGCGTGGGAACGGACGATTCCGACGACGACGACCGACGGCCGGGTCAACGACGGACGATGACGACGACGTCCCTCCTCCCCCCGCTGCCCTCCCCGGTTTCTTGGACCCCCCCCGCTTGAGCTCGACCCCACCCTCCGTCCCCGCTCGAGCTTCCTCCTTGGACCCCCCCCCACTTGAGCTCGACCCCCCCCTTCCGTCCTCGCTCGAGCTCCCCCCCCCCTCGATTCTTGGTCCCCCCCCGCCGCGCTGCTCCCCCCCCCCCCCCGCTTGAGCTCGAACCCCCCCCTCCATTCCCGCTCGAGCTTCCTCCTTGGATCTCCCCCACCCGCTTGAGCTCGACCCCCCCCTCCCCCCGCTTGAGCTCGACACCCCCCTCCGTCCCCCGCTCGAGCTTCCTCCTTGGACCCCCCCCTCCCGCTTGAGCTCGACCCCCCCCGTCCTCGCTCGAGCTCCCCCCCCCCCCTCGATTCTTGGACCCCCCCCCCGCGCTGACCCCCCCCCCCCCGCTTGAGCTCGACCCCCCCTCCCCTCCGTTCGACCCCCCCCCCGTCCTCGCTCGAGCTCCCCCCCCCTCTCGATTCTTGGACCCTCCCCCCCCCGCGCTGACCCCCCCCCCTTGCTTGAGCTCGACCCCCCCCTCCGTCCCCGCTCGAGCTTTTCCTTGGACCCCCCGCTTGAGCTCGACCCCCCCCCTCCGTCCTCGCTAGCCCCCCCCCCCTCGATTCTGGACCCCCCCCCCGCGCTGGAGCGTTCACTGAATTGCGTGGATAATTCGCCGGATCCCCCCCCCCCTGAGCGAAGCTTGAGCGAGCTCAAGCCCACGCTCTCAGAAACTCACCCTGTACATAGTGCTCTCTGTGATGTTATGTCAAGAGCTGCTCAGGGTCTTCTGCCGCCAAGGGGCGCAGCTTGCCAGACGCCCCCGTGTCCCGGCGCCCGGACGGCGGCGGAGGCCAACGAGTCGGCGGAGGACCCCCTGCCGGCCGTGACCAGCGCGGACAGGGTCGAGGAGGGCCAGGCCGCCGCCGCCCCTTTGGAGGACTCGCCGTCACCGCCCCCCTCAAAGAGGCCCCGACGTGTCCCCCATTTCCAGTCTGAAGCGTGGTCTCTGCGCACGGAGGGGCGCGACGAGTTTATGTGATCCTTGTGAGGGCGAGCCTGCAGTGCATGGCCAGCGAGCTCTCAAACGATTGCAGCAAGGCAAAGTGCCAGCAGTCGAGTCCAAGGAGACAGAGAGAATTCTAGCCAGTTGCTAACTAATATGTGGGCCGAAGGCTGGAAACAAAAAAAAGGTGGGGGGTCGGGAACATTGAGAAAACACATATGGAACCCGTACCCCCCAATCCGAAATTCGGGTCTTCGGGTTGGGTGGGGGTGGTCTGGCAGGTAGCCAAGTAGGCGGCGGAGGACATACACGAATCCCAATAAGAAGACAAACGCGGAGACGAGACGAGGGGGCAAGCCAGGCTCGAAGAAGAACCAACTGCATAACCATCAACTTTTGGCGCTCTGCGCGGATTTCTTGTCTCCGTGCAGGGACCCCCGTGGCGACACCTCCGGCTCCGCCCCTGGCGCGCTCCGCGCGACAGGTAGGGGGTTCCAGAGCAGACCCAAGAAATCCGCGCGGAACGCCAAAAGTTGACGTTTATGCAGTTCTGTCTTGCTCATGTGCACTTGCCCTGCTCTGTGCTCTCAGGCCTGCTTCGTCGCATGCCTGCAGGACTGCAGCGTCTTGCGCGACTGGGCGCTCGCGTCCTCTCGGGGCCCGAGTGACCTCGCGCCTGCTCACATCGCTGCCTGCTGCGGACAGGAGGCTCAAGACAGACAGCCGCGACAGGCAGGCCCCTCAGACTCTCGAGCTTCACGGGTGCTCACCTTTCGAACGGATGCTCGTCCCGTCACCCCGCTCAGTGAACGGGCCCCCCAGACCTCCAACGTCCTGAAGCCCAGGCCTCTCCCTGGAGGCCCGCCCTTTTCGGGCCGCGGGCCCCTCAAGAAGCGGCACACGACGAAAACCGGCCCCAGAGATGGGGGCGAGAGCTCCGAAATACCGGCCCAGGGCCGCGGGCACTCACATTGAGCATGGCCCGGGCTGGGCTTCACAGAGAGCCTGGCCGATTTGGCGGCGAACTTCGTCTGCCTGGCGGCAGCCGCGGCCATTTCTGGGTAGCAGCTGCTTTCGAGCACCGACCCCGCCGATGCCGCCCCCGTGTCGGGCGCGTTAGTCCGCGGGGCCCCCAGGGGTACGTCGCGCGCATCGACGGCGAGAAGACGTGCCGCACCGCGCGGGCCTTATATCAGCCGGCGGCGGGGTGGCAGCTCGCGTCGTCCAGCGCGTCCTGGCGAGGGTGAGGGCAAGGGTTCCAGCAGCACGCGCACAGATACACACAATCACACTCACAACACAACATACAGCACACTACACACAAGACACAACACATACACACCACACAACACACAACACATTCACACATCATACAACGCACAACGCAACACACAACACACACACAACACAAGAAACAACACACACCACACACCACACAACACACAACGCACAACACACAACACACACAGACAACGCACAACACAAACAACGCACAACACACATACCCACACACACCCACACACACCACACGCCAGATACACCACACACCACACACCACAGACACACACACAACACACAACACACAACACACAACACGCGCCACAACATAATTACAGCACACAGCACACAACATATAACACACAGCACGTCACACAGCACACACACACACGCACGCACGCACACACAGACACACAACAACAACAACAACAACACCAACAACAACAACAGCAACAGCAACATCACAAAACAGCAACAACAACCCCAGCAGCAACAACCACGGCAGCAACACCAACAACATGAGCACCAACAACAACAGCAGCACCATCACCAGCAGCAGCAGCAGCAGCGGCAGCAGTAACACCAACACCAACATCAACACCAGTATCAGCACCAGCAACACCAGCACCAGCAACAACAGCAGCTGCAATAGCAGCAACAGCCAGCAGCAACAGCAGCAACAGCAATAGCAACAACAACAGCAACAGCAACAACAACAACGACGACAGCAACAACAACACACATAACACACATAACACACAGACGCAACACACAATACACACAACGCACAAACACACAGACACGTACACACATACCGCCGCCTCTTCTGATCGCACACCCCCGCCTGTCGGCGGGCGGGGTCCCCGCCCTGGTCGGGGCGCACATGCAACTTGGGTTCAGCGCCATTCAGGGTCAGGGCTCCTCTGCCTGGCCAGGTTTTGAGCCGACCCCCCCTCCCCTCCCTCCGCTGGCCGCGGGTTTCGAGCTGTGTCGTCGCCGGCCCAGCTTCGCGACATGGTGCTGGCTGTCTGGGGTCAGCGTTCAGTCTGTCCCTCCGCAGGAGGAAGTTTCAAAAATAGTCAAAATATGGTGTGGGGCCGATTTTTCAGCTATTTTTGATGATTTTCCATTTTTCTGCCAAAATCTGTTTGTGGGAGGACATGCCCGACCTCAGGTTAGCGCTGACCCTGTCCAGCGCGTCCCCGACCTAAGGCGAAGGTTGGCGAGTTGTGCTTCAAGGCGGTGTCCTGGGCCAAGCTGACGGGAGTCGTCGACCACCCTTCTTGGTACCTCGGGCTCTCCACGGAGTCCTCGTTCAAGGACTGGGCCGGAGTCCAAGAGCGGGGGCCAGAGCCATTCGTTGCGGTCGTCCTCGCCTCGTCGTGCTCGTCGTCGTCCATCGACCACCTCCTGGTACCGTGGACATCGAGACCTGCACATTCAAGAACCAGGTCCAGCACCTTGAGAGTGAGGACCTCGCCTTCTTAGAAAATCCGGACCTCTCCCAGAGCGCGCTCTGACCAGGACGTCGAGGCGAATCCGAGCGTCGCAACGATCGGCGGCGTGCGCGGGGGGGAAGTGAGAAGGGGCGGATGTTCTCGGAAGTCTCGGAAGTTCCCCGGCCTTCTGAGAAGTTGCCTGAACCTTCCCCGAAGGCGCAGAAAACCTCGCAGAAGGCGCGAGGGTTTCTGAGAAGTCCCGCCGTCTTCTAAGAAGGCCTTCTCCTTCTCACCTCCTCTCCCTCGCTCGCCGCCGGGACGAGGGCCCCGCTCACTTCCCCTCCCTCGCTCGCCGCCGGCGGGAAGAAGAAGGTCAAAACTGTTACAGTTGGCGCCGTCGTCGTCGACCGCCCGAAAGGCACCCTGGCCGATCATGACAATGACGATGAAGATTGCGATGATGATGGTGATGATGGTGATGCTGCCGATCATGATGCTGCTGACGTTGATGATGATTATGATGATGAGGATGATGATGTTGATTATGTTGCTTATTATTATGATTATGATGATGATGATGCTGATGCTTATGATGATGCTGCTTATAATGATGCTGAGGATGATGATGGTGGTGATGATGATGATGATGATGTCGCTGATGATGATGATGATGATGATGATGATGCTGATGCTGATGCTGATGATGCTGATGATGCTGCTGATGATGATGATGCTGATGATGATGATGATGATGATGTTGATGATGATGATGATGATGATGATGATGATGATGATGATGATGATGATGATGATGATGATGATGATTCTGATGGTCAGGAGGAGCAGCTGGGAGGATAGTTTTGGAGGGTGAGATGGAGGAGGAGGTGCTATCCCTCGAGCAGGTCTCCCCGAGATGAGTTGTTGAGAGCCATGAAACGCTTGATTGGAAGGCGAAACGTATGGACACATTCCAATTTGCTGGTGCACATGGCAGGTGCCCGCGTTGCGATTTTACTTTGTCTTGCATCGCGGACCCTCGACGACGTCATGCTTTCACGACGCGAGCAAAGACACATGACGCCGACTGAGCGGACATTGGCGCGTAGACCGCCCGCGGACCACGCGGTCTGCCGCGAGAGCGGCCTGCTCAAGCCACCGCAGAAGGCCCGCCCTGTCCTCGTGCGTTGCCCTCCTTCCTTCCCCCCCTCCCCTCCCGGCCGATGCGCCGCCCGGGCACTTCCCTCCTTCCCCCCCCTCCCTCCTTCCCCCCCTTCCCCCCTTTTCTCCCTCCTGCTCCTCCCTCCTTGCCCCCTCCCCTCCCCCTGCCGATGACCAACCCAGCCTCTCGGGTCTGGTGTCCCCCCAGAGGGGCAGGCGCGCCGGCCCGGCGGTGTCCACGGCATGCCTCGCGGCGGGGGCGGGCCCGTCGGCCCCCCCCCCCCCCCCACCGCGTGTCCCCGCCTGGTCTTCGGCGCCCGACGTCCAGCAGGCGATGATTGTCCCCGCTTGTCCCCGGCAGGAGTTCCAGGCCTACATCCACAAGACGAGGGGGAGCCTCTGCGACGCGCCCTGCGCGGCAGACCTGGAGCGCCTTGGGGGCACGGAGGTTACGGAGGTTACGGAGGAGGAGAAGGAGGAGGAGGAGGAGGAGGAGGAGGAGGAGGAGGAGGAGGAGGAGGAGGAGGAGGGGGAGGGGGGGAGGAGGGGGAGAGGGGAGGAGGAGGAGGAGGAGGAGGAGGGAGAGGAGAGGAGGAGGAGGAAGGAGGAGGAGGAGGAGGAGGAGGAGGAGGAGGAGAGGAGGAGGAGGGAGGAGGAGGAGAGGAGGAGGAGGAGGAGGAGGAGAGGAGGAGGAGGGAGGAGGGAGGAGGAGGAGGAGGAGGAGGAGGAGAGGAGGAGGAGGAGGAGGAGGGGGAGGGGGAGGGGGAGGGGGAGGCGGAGGGGGAGGGGGAGGGGGAGGGGGAGGAGGAGGAGGAGGAGGAGGAGGAGGAGGAGGAGGAGGAGGAGGAGGAGGAGGAGGAGGAGGAGCGTGGCCACTTACGCTCCAGTTGGAACCCCTTGTCGCGGGGGCTCGACCTAGTGGTTCCCGCCGTCGTGCGACAATCATCAAGGGGGCGCCCGACGCATCCATATTCCATGCACTGACAGCCGCCTGCCACTCCTCTTGTCGCTTCTTGTCGCTCTCCTTCGCCCTAGACTGCACAGCAGCAGTGGTCGGAGCAGCGTCGGAAGACAGGCGGCGAATGACAGTAGGTGGAGTGCAGAAGTGTGGGTGTGGCCAGAACCCCCAGCACTGGACATGGTGCAAACATTGTCGGGCAGCAAGAGCATAAACTAAATAGTGCACCTCTCTGGCGGCCAGGTAGCCGCTGGACTCGTGACAAAGGTGTAGACAAACGAGCTGCCTTGGTCTCAATCCAGGACCTCCACAAGCTGGTCGACATCACAAAGCAGATGGAGACAGCGGCGCGGCCGCTCAGTTCAATGACGAGATTGCCAAGCTCGGTCGTGAGGCCAAACCATCACACCAGCGAGCAGCAACAACACAGCGCAGGGCAACAAATGCCGAGTACAAGCTCGCACAGGCCACCGAGACTTTGGCGAACCTCCAGGAACAGACCGCAAAGCAGGCAGGCAGAACTCGTCCAGCAGATGCTGGCAGAGCCCACCACCGCGGAGCAGGAGTACAAACAGGTTGTCCCCGAGGAAAGCAAAGGGCACAGTTGGAAGGTTACCCAAAGGCGGCGATTGTCACGGCAAAGGGCCCTCCACCATCAAGCTCAAGGCATCCCTCGACGCAGCAGTCGGCGAACTATCCTTCGATGAGGACGGGCTCATCGACCTTGGCAAGGACTGCGGGTTGGAAGCGTCGGACCAAAAAAGAAAGCGGGAAGCGCAGGAAAGGAGCTCGCCACCCACAGGCGAACCCTCGCCCAGAAGCTGCTCTCAGAGGCCAAGCAGAAGTGCAAGGCCACCGGAGCAGCCGATGAGGAGCAGATGGGACGCATGGCAGTAATGCGGTGGCGCGCTGTTCAGTGAGCCGCCTCCTGACCATCCAGCCAATCCCAGGACTTGCCTTCTGGGATGCACCAGTGGAACCACTGAAGCCTCCCTCAGCCACCCAAAGCCCCAAGTTTTCCTGGCTGTCACCATTTTTTGGAAAGGGCTGCAGAAGCCCTCGCATGCAGCTGGACAGGAGCTGACAAGACATGGGCAACGGACGGACCTACAATGCCCAGCGAGTTCGATTCGATGATTCAGTGGGCCGGTTCTACGACATTCCAGGTCTGAGTATTGCGCAGGGTCCACGGGTAACGGACCACGTGCCCCGGCAACCAGATCCAGCATCGCGTCGAGCTTCAGGTCTTCTCGCGAACTTTCGAGGACCACGGTCGACGTCCATCCCAGCAGGTCGTCCTGGTTTGGGACTGGGTGGCAGGCGGACTATAAACATGTCCAAGTGGGTTGGGTGGTCTCACGCATGGGAGCCCAGACGTTGGGGCCGCCCGTGCAATTGCCTCCGGCGCCATTTCAGTCACCTCTCCTGAGAACCTCCTCCTTGCGGGCGCTGGCAGCCTGGGGCGCCGTTCAGGGATCGGGGGGAGAAGCTGCAGCGCCGCCGTCCCTGGGGCAGGCGTTGGCGGCGCTCGCATTTTTGCTTCGGTAGACTGCGAGTCTGATGCTACCAGGGCTGGGCCAGGCGTTGGGGGCGCTAACAAAATGACCTCAAGCTTAGACCTGGTGCTGCCACTGGTGGGACAGACGTTGGAGGCGCCCGCGTAGTTCTCCCAACCTCGGACGGAGGAGTGGGCTTGTTTGACTATATCGAGTAAATGAACGATGAGCCAGGTCGTGGGATGCAGGAATCTAGCGCCCCAGGGATGGCGCCGACTGAGCCACTCCCCAATCAGCCGCCAAGTTTTGCCGCGGGGGGGGGGGGGGGGGGGGGGGCCCTAGTTCGCTGGGGATGGGACTAATGGGCCTTCCCAAGTCGAGCCCAGTCGCCGAGTTTTGCTAGGGCAGGCCTGCGCGGGCGCCCCAGAGCCGCAGCTCGGCGAGCAGCTCGGAAGGAAGTATCGTGGCAGCCGAGCGCGACAAGGACAAGCCACCGCGACCGCACCACGAGCGCCTGGTCGAACACATCGAGTTCTAGCTCGCCAACTGCACCGAGTTGACGGGGCTCTGGCGGAAGCGCCTCGGGACCTTGCGCGAGGAGCAGGGCGTCCGCGTCCAGATCGGGGACGAGGATCACACTCGCGGGGCGGACTATTACGCTGCAGTGGGGGGAAGGCCCGTGGACGGCGGCGCCCGGGTGCCCCCCCCCCAGGTCAGCCTTGGGTTTCTCAGCTCCGCCGCGGGGAGTGGTGCATCTCAGCGCGCGGACAAAGCCAGCGGCGGGCAGCTGATCGGCCGCGGATCCATGAGGCCGCCGTCCTATTCATCTCCGCCAGCGTTGCCGAGGGGGCGAGGCTGGTTCGGTCTGCAGTGCGCGTGCAAGAAGAAATTCAATCGAAAGCCGCTGGTTGGGGCGTTGGAGTTGAGCAGGCAAGAGACTGCAGCATTGTGGGCTGCCCGAGGGGTCGCGTTTTCGTCGCTCTGTATGGGGTCCAGCGTCAGTCCGGGGAGTTGGCGCTCGACTGCCTCCCGGTTCCCCGCCCCTGCCTGGCCGGCTTCGCTCTGGAGTGCGACTTCGAGGGCCCGTGGGCCCGACCTCATTTGGGTTTCTCAGGCCCGCGCAATTTGCAGTTCGTGATCAGGCAGATGCAGGCTTTGGCTGGCCCGCCCAAGCTGCCCCTCGGGTGCCGGGGGCCGCCTGGCCTTGGGGGCCCATGCTCGGGATGCCTGGGTCTTCGTCGTCCAGGGCCCAGGGGCCAACTACCGCGCTGCAACGGCCTGCCGATCACCCTCTCTCACCGGGCAGCGCGCTAGTTTTTCGCGGGTAGCAGCGGTGCTGTGCCGCCCCGAGCAAGGCCTGGTTGCCCGACGAGCGCAGCGCCGTCCATCCAGGTTGGGCGCCGCAGCTCGCGTGGCATCCAGTATTTATGGCGTGCCCATCACCGCGAGTAAGCAGCGCCGAGCAGCTCGCCTTCTGGGGGCGGTTGTTGCGCGCTTCCACGACCGCATGCGCTCCCTGGCGGGCGTCGGCCCTCAGGTCAAGGCCTTGCAACGGACGCACCATGGGGGGCGCGTTGAATCGTCGAGGCCATCGCAACGGCGCCCTTTTCGACCCCCTTGGAGGGCCAGGACCTCCCGGAGGCTCTGCGGGGACGCTGGGAACGTCGCCAACCAGGATTGCGGACAGGCCCGCAACCTCGCGGCGACGCCGGGGAGATATGGGGCCGGGCTGACAAGGCGGGTTAGTTTTCCAATCTGAAGGGCTCGAGGGGCGGCTCTGGGATAGCCTTGGGGGAGGGGCCATGTGGGGCCGCCGGCGTGTAGGGACTTGGTCTCCAGAGCCAACGCTTCATATTCGAGTTTTGAGTTCGGAGTTCCCTTGCGAGGGCGCCTGGGTGCCACGAGGTCGAGCGGGGTGGGCGGAGGGGGCCTGTGGTCAGATCTCCGAGGGCTGGGGCGCCGATCAACGGGTGGCGGCCGCGGCCGCGGGCCGACCCTCCTGCCAAATGACGACAGCTCCTTCTCGACCTCCTTGCCGAGCGTGAGCGCGAGTGCAAGTGGCCTGGCTTATTTTTCCTGGACAGGGGCGGGCGTGCCTCCGAATCCGTCGGGGGAGGGAGCCGGACCGATCATTGGGGCATGGGGCCCGTATCGGGCCCGGCCCACGGCCCGCATGGAAGCCGATCCCAGTCGTCACAGTGCCCGCGCGGTCGCTTGGGGGGCAGCTATCAAGGGATCGGCCCGCGGCGCGCCGCACTACCTCGTCTCGCCGAAGCAAGAGCAGCCTCCTGGATGCATTGCTACCGGGCCATCTTGCTGATAGATGCCAAACGGCTGTTCGACGCGCCTAGCCAGCTCTGGATCTTCTTGATGGGGAAGGAAGTCTATGATCCAGCGCGCGCCATGTATTTGGGGGTGGCAATTCACCGTGCGGGTTGAACGCTCCTCGTTGGGGGGCGAGCATGTAACCTGCCGTTGGGCCGTTTCATTCTGCAAGGCCACGTCCACTCTATGGCCTGGGCCGCGGCGTGCCTTCGTGATGCGACGGTGCGCCCCCGCGGCAATTTTCGCCCAGTTGAGCTCGGCGCCTGGGTCGGCAATGTCGGCGCGCAGGTCCTGGGGCCAGGCGCCCGCTTGCTGTTGGATGGGGCCGATGCCTTAGTCTCTGCCATGCGATCGCGAGGATTGGAGGCCGCGGTCCAGTCCCAGTTGCTCGCCAGCTGGGCCCCCCCACGGCGCCAGATCACCGAAGGCTCGCTCGAGTGGGCGCAGGCAGCCACCGGGGCGCGAGACCTTGGGCTGGATGTTTCTTCTCGGAGGAGGTCCGCAGCGGAGGCCCTCGCGGCCCGGGGCCCGCCGCTTCCGTGGGGGTGGACCAGAAGATCAAGGGTGCTCCCAGTGCGGTCTGCCCGAGGCCCTCTTTCGCCCTGTTCGGGGATGCGAGCGTGGCCAGTCGTGCCCAGGCGCGCGCAT